AGCTCCTAAAAATCAAATACTTATGCTCATCAAAAGACTTCACCAGAAGAGTCAAAAGACAACCTACAGACTGGGAAAAAAATTTTGGCTACGACAAATCCGATCAGCATCTAATCTCTAAAATCTACAAGATACTGCAAAACCTGAACAACAAAAAGACAAATAACCCAATTAAAAAACGGGCAAAGGATATGAACAGGCACTTCGCCAAAGAAGATATTCAGGCGGCTAACAGACACATGAAGAAATGCTCATGATCATTAGTCATTAGAGAAATGCAGATCAAAATTACAATGAGATATCATTTTACCCCAACAAGGCTAGCAATAATCCAAAAAACACAAAGTAATAAATGCTGGAGAGGTTGTGGAGAGTCTAGAACACTTCTACACTGTTGGTAGGAATGTAAAATGGTACAACCACTTTGGAAATCGATTTGGTACTTCCTTAAAAAGCTAGAAAAAGAAGTACCATACAATCCAACTATCCCGCTCCTTGGAATATATCCTAGAGAAATAAGAGCTATCACACGAATAGATATATGCACACCCATGTTCACTGATGCACTGTTCACAAGAGCAAAAAGATGGAAACAACCTAGGTGCCCATCAACGGACCAATGGATAAACAAATTATGGTATATCCACACAATGGAATACTATGCAATGATAAAGAAAAACGATGAAGCTGTGAAACATCTTTTAACATGGAGGAAGCTGGAACTCATTATGCTGAGTGAATTCAGTCAGTCACAGAAGGACAAATATTGTATAAGACCACTATTATAAGAATTCAAGAAAAGGTTTAAACACAGAAGAAAACATTCTTTGATGGTTACAAGGTGGGGAAGGAGGGTGAGGGTTATTTACTAACTAGATAGTACATAAGAATTATCTTAGGTGAAGGGAAGGACAGCACACACTACAGGGGAAGTCGGCACAACTGGACTAAACCAAAGCTAAGAAGTTTTCTGAATATAATCTAACACTTCAAGGGACAGAGTAGCAGGGGTAAGGGTCTGGAGATCATGCTTTCAGGAGACATCTAGGTCAATTAGCATAACAAAGTTTATTAAGAAAATGTTCTGCATCCTACTTTGGTGAGTGGTGTCTGGGCTCTTAAAAGCTTGCAAGTGGCCGTCTAAGATGCATCAATTGGTCCCAACCACCTGGAGTAAAGGAGAATGAAGAACACCAAAGACACAAGGAAAGTATTAGCCCAAGAGACAGAAAGGGCCACATAAACCAGAGACTTCATCAGCCTGAGACCAGAAAAACTAGATGGTGCCCGGCTACCACCAATGACCACCCTGACAGGGAACACAACAGAGAGTCCTGGATGGAGCAGGAGAAAGGTGGGGTGCACAGCTCAAATTCTAGTAAGAAGACCAGACTTAATGGTCTGACCGAAACTGGAGGAACCCCGGAAAACATGGCCCTTGGATTCTCTATCAGCCCAGAACTAAAACAGTTTCCGAGGCCAACTCTTCAGACAGGGATTGGACTGGACTGTGGGACATAAAGTGATACTCGTGAGGAGTGTGCCTCTTAGCTCAAGTAGATACAAGAGACTAAACGGGCAGCTTCTGTCCGGAGGTGAGATGGGAAGGCAGAAAGGGTTAGGAGCTGGTTGAATGGACATGGGGAATCAGGGGTGGAAAGGAGGAGTGTGCTGTCACAGTATGGGGACAGCAATTAGAGTCACATAACAATGTACGTATAAATTTTTGTATGGGAAAAAATTAAGAAAAAAGAAAGGAAAAACCTTGGGAAAAAAACCATAGGAAGGTGGTTAAATTTCAGTGTATTTGTAAGATGGAATAAGATGCTATGGCATAATGGCAATTGGAAAAAACAGGAAACAAAACTGTTTTATTACAGTCTAGGTGTATGTGTGTGCACATGCTCACATACACAAATACAGAAGGAAATATTCCAAAATGTTAATTAACTGTGCCTGTTTTAAAGTGATGGGATTAGTGGTAATTTCTCTATTTTCCAAGAGTTAGGTAATATAGTGGGTTAATTAAATACTGGAGAAAAATGATAAATTTTCAAAATACAAAATACACTTGCTAGGTTTTTTTCCCCTTTCTTTGGGTTACAGGCTCCTAAACAGCAAGTCCCACTGCTGCTCAGAAAATGCTGTGGACAACAGAAGCCATTTCTAGTTTGTTTCTGCCATGTTTATAATCAAACCCTCGCATCAAAGGCAAACTGTACACACTCCTAGGAACAGTAGGCTCCCCTCTTTACTATCCCGCCCTCACCCCTCCCTAACTCGCTCTCCTCTCTCAGCTCAAGATTATTGTGGGCACATCATCTTTCCCATGCAGATCTTCCCATTCCATTCTGGGGGAAAATGGGAAACTGTTTTACAAAGCAAAAGACTATTCACAGGGAACATGAAATTGAAGTGCAATCTGACAGATGACTTGAATCTGAATTGGCTGGTATTAAGATCTTAGAGTGGGAAGAGGAAAAAGCCTCTGTTCTCCAAAGGACATAATAGGACATTTAACAGATTTATTTCAAAGGGCAAATGAACAAACAAAACTCGCCATTTAAGACTCAAATGAAGCGGTGAAGAAAGATCTGCTTATTAAAAGTGCCACCTTGGAGGAAGCAAACCAGAAGATTTGTTTCTCTGTACAAGCAGTCCCCGGGTTACGAACATCCAACGTACATCAGTAGTTACAAACCAACCTCTGTTAGATTAAAAATTCAAGGTATATACAATGGTTCGTAATAACAAACAGGTGCTACTTTGTGACACGCATCAAAACATTATTATTACTATTATTATTATTACTGTATTATTATGTTAAAGATGTTTTAATGTATCTGGAAGTGTTTCTTTAATGTTTCTTATGAACAGAAAGGTACGCTATATACTATATACTAAGACAAACAGTTGACTAACTGACGTTAGATACAAACCCTACCTAACTGCTCTGACTTACATGTAAGTTCAACTTAAAGACAGACTTAGAAATGGAACTCGTTCGTAATCCAGGGACTGCCTGTAAATGGACTGCAGATATTCCTGGTTTTCAAAATTATCTGGAACCCTGGAAGCTAGGATCAATAACATTCCCTCTATCAAAGAGAGCAGATGCCCAGAGTACAGCATAAATACGTTTGAGCTTTTCCCACTTTGAAGGTAGGAGGAGACAGCTGAAGGGCTGACAAATCTTTCCTAAGAAATGATGTGACAATGAATGTGAGATCTCCATTTATACAGAGCTCTAGGCTAAGTTCAAGACAATCCCAACCAAGAAGATTCCAGGAAGATTCAAGTACCAAAAGCCCTACTGCGCTTCACAGGGCAAGTAGTTCCAGTCTTCTGAAACAATGCTAACAATACATTCATGGAGCAAGGTTCTTCCTGGAGGGATTAGGTCAATTGAGGGGCTAAAGAGAGTGTGCTTTTTCTCATTGCCACAAGTTTAGGTTCTCCTACTATGTAACACGGATCAAGAACAGAAAAAAAATCAGAGACTACTTCACAAAGATTAGCGCTGACACCCAAAGTCATTAGGGTGATAGGCTTCCATTATCTTTCCCCAAGGTGGGACAGAGGAATGGGATGCCCACCCTCACTGATTATACAAGTCTAGTGAATCACAAGCTTTTTAGTGGCCATTGTAAAGAGGCCACGATTTAACCTTTCATGGCCTTTTCGGACTTTCAAATGCCACCTATAGAAAATTTCCATAGACGGGAAGCTGGACTTTTGGGTTGATGGGACACCAACTATTTATTCCCTGTCATGTCCTCTGTACATGGTAGCGTACAGGAGTTCCTGGGTATGCTTGTGAAGGAACTACACACATTTGGTCAAATGCAGAAGTCAAGATGCCATTAGCATGAGAAAAAGATGCACAAAATTCAGGTCATAAATGATTAATACAAAAAGTAAATGAAAAACATGCTTACTAATCTGTTTTTCAATGTTAATGAATTCATTAAGGCTGCATCTACACCACCCAAATTATTTGGCTGATTTGGCAACTCTCCAAATCCCTGGAGACCACACCACCACCCAGATGTGCCATCTACAGCACAGATCCCAAGCCTGGACTTGAGGTTAGAAACATCATATATATCGAATTTGTCCATGTTGGCATGACCACTAACCTGAGGAAGGCAGTGGACAGACCTGTTGGCCGAATAACTAAAAAAATCCCATGGCCATCGATTCGATTCCGACTCATCGTGACCTTATACAACAGAGTAGAACTGCCCCATAGAGTTTCCAAGAAGAGCCTGGTGGATTCGAACTGCCGACCTTTTGGTTAGCAGATGTAGCTCTTAACCACTACACCACCAGGGTTTCCGCTGGCCTAACAGGACCCTCATAACCCCATCCACAGCAAAGGGGATTTCAACAAGAAAGAGTCCTAGGGCAGATGCAGTCTTGAGAAATGTTTCTGGTTATTTTTTTTTTAATTAGCATATAACAAGAATGCTTCTTCTTACCTCTGTTTGTTCTACTGACTCAAGTCTGTCACTTCCCTGGAAGCCCATGCAGGAAAGATCAAAAATGGTTTTCTTCAGGTGCTGGTTGTCTGTATACAGTTCCTTCACTAGCTGTATAAGGTCACTGACCTAGGAAAGAAAAGCACAGAGGACTGGCTACCCAGCAGCCAACTTCAGTGTCCCAGGACCATGCCCCTATATGCAGACAATCCTTCTGAGTTAGACTCTTCAGCATCACAGTTATGGAGCATCAAGCTGCCTGATTCTAGATCTCAAGCCACTCTTGGTATGGCAAAAAGAGCACTAGTTTTAACATTTAGCATGCCTATATTCTAATACCAGAGCCACCACTTCAAGATAGAGAGATCCTGAGCAAGATGCCTAATCTAAGCCTCAGTTTCCTCACCTGTAAATTGGGTTACTATGAGAATTCAATAGGAATATGAATCACAGTCACAATGCACCAGAGTCCTTGGGACAGTCTAACTGCTCAATCAATGGGAGCTAGTGCTATCTTTGTCTTGCCCTCCCCCCAAGCAGAGTTAATCTCTCCTTTCCTGCTACCTCTCTATACTTTATACATCCCTCCACCTATTACAGCAACCCTCACACTCCATCTAGCAATGGCTTGTTTACATGTCTGTCTCTTCTACAAGAATTAAAATATCCCGTGACAGAAATGGAATCAGTCACACTGGTATGATAATTTTATGATAAATCACCTAGTCTCCTCTGAGGTCACACTTCCTATTATCAATGGCTCTTAAAACCTTGAAACACTAGAAACCACGATAATCAACAGACTGTAAAACCTTTCTGGTTTTAAAAAAAGAGATTTATTGATCAAACCTGGGGTTTTATTCATTCAATAATTATCTATTAACTCCAACTATCAGTGCCCACTTCTTGCAAATCAGAAATAATTATAACACAATCACTAACTTTAACATGTTCACGGCCTACTGAGGGGTACAGAAGAGTAATCAGACAGTTACACATCAGTATGAAAAGGACATAAGGAGTCTGGGTGGCACAATGATTAAGCACTCACTTGCTAACCGAAAAGCTGGTGGTTCAAACCCACCCAGCGGCTCCACAGGAGAAAGACCTGGTGATCTGCTCCCAAAAAGATTACAGTCTGGAAAACGCTACGGGGCAGTTCTACTCTGTCATGTGGGGTCGCTATGAGTCGGAATCGACTTGATGGCACCCGACAACAACAACATGAGAAGGACAGCATTGTCATTAGGTACAAGAAGAAAGGTGAACGACCTGAGGGAAAGATGACTAACTCTACATGGCGGTTTAGGGAGCGTTTCCTAGAGATGAACAAGCCTGGACTGGGTTCTCAAGCCAGAGGAGGAATGTATGAGACCTGTAGGAGTACCCTCCGGGAACGTAAACAGAAGGAGAAAAGACAAGGCAAGGAGAAAGAAGAAAGGGAGGAAAGGACTTTTAGCATCTTATACGTTTGACTGGGAACCTAAGAGACAACAAATAACCAATGAAGTGCTAAAAGTTAATAGGTCAATACCTTTTTCTTAAGTTCTTCTTGAGAAAAATGCTCCACTTGTAGCCGATTGTGCTCTTCAAGGCAAATACTCAAATAAGATGTCTGATCACTATAAAATGAAAATGTTTCTTCTGCCCAAAAAAAAAAAGGGGGGGTTGGGGGGGAAGAGAATCAGAAATAGATCGTTCCAGGGCCAATGCCAGTGCAATCCATTTAAAGCAAGTTGAATTGGGTTGGGGAGAGAGTTACAGAAGAAGATAAATACACATAGGGAGTTTAAAGCACCACCTTTGGAGCAAAAGTAATTTTCCTTCTTTCTCTACAGGTTATCTCAATATATGGTTTCATCTTGGGCTGTAGGCTTTCACTGTGGCCAATTCTGAATTATAATTTGCATATCAAGTGTTGTGCCTGGAGACCATTCTGAGTGGCATGAGGAAATGGTGATTTCAGTTTAAATGAGGGAGTAAATCTGTTTAGGTGAGAATACAGGAAAATTAGATGTGACCCTCAAGGGTAGAACTCAAGGGAAATAAAAGAGCCTGATGTATTTTTTACTGGCCCCAGCGCCCACATGGGGAGCAAGCACACCAAGTGCAAAAACTGCCTGCTAGATCTAAGATGAGAGGATCTTTGGTCACCTACATAAGGGTCTGCTTCCTCTGCAGCAAAATTCACATTCCAATAAGGAACGAAGAAGCAGAAGAGAGGGAGGACATTTACTGAGAAAGGCATGTCCACAAACATTACCTCATTTTACAAGTGTGGATAAGAAATGATAGACCTGATACGCCATGCAGTGTCCTGGAAAGAGCTAGACTTCAAAGAAAGACACTCTAGTTCATATCTTGGTGATTTACTGTGGGACCATAGGCAAATTAATCCCCAATCTCTGGGCCTCTGTTTCCTCCTCTGTAAGATGGAGTTTTACCTACTCTATCTAACATAAGGGTAAGAGATGAGAGGTTAAGTGCCTACCACTGTGCCTTGCACACAATACAGGTAGGTGCTCAAGAAATGTCAAACCTATCACTGTTATAACTAATATTTATTCTGTGTGCCAGGCACCAGGCTAGGGATCCAGAAAGGAATAAGACACTAACCCAGACTTTAAGGGGTTCATGTTCTAGCAAGGGAGAGAGCCAAATATCACTGTGATGAATACTGCAATGCAAGTACCACTGACCCTCATCTTGTAGCCCTCCCGAAATAAATTTACTCGTGGTCATGACAATGCTAAACACAGTATTTCAACATGAAACAGCAATCTCACTCCTACACGTCTCTGCAGTCCTTGCTCTCTGCAGTGGGTGCTGTGATAGGCACAGCCCAGATGCTTTGGGCAATGAGGACTATTCACCAGAGAAAGGGGATTCGAGGCTACCTAGAGTTAGGAGTATCGATGCAGGAAACAGTACAGGCAGCAAGACAGCAATCCTGCAACAGACCTTCTGCAGAATAAATAGAATTTACTGGGCCTTTCTACTATGAAGGCCAAAGCCAGATGGAAACATACTGGGAGAGCCAACATTAAAACAGTCACCACAAAAAGGGTCCCAAGATAAAATCTTGCAGGTGCCTCACCTTCTAATGAAGCTTTACAGCTCTCTTAAAGTTCAGCCAAGGCCTTCCAAGTGGCAAATCCCAAAGGGAAATATATACAAGAGAGTATATATACCTTCCCGCCTCCGAATTTCATTGATCTGCTCCTCCAAGGTCTTCTGCAAATTCTGATAGGAGAGCACATCCTGCTCCAGTTGCTTCCGCAGGGCAAAAATGTTGTTTAACTCAGCCTGCAGGTTGTTGATACTTGGTAAAACAAGACACCAGAAATTTTAAAATAGATCTATTTGTGCTTTAAGATGCGAAGCCTAGCAAGTCTTCCTTTGATTTCAATGTCATTTTTTTTTCTGTTTATAAAAGTAAATATGTATTTACTGAAGAAAACTGAAAATATAAACATATAAAGAAAACAAATTCATCATAACTCCACTATCAATTACCACGTGGTAGACTCTATTTCCTCCCAATCTTTTTCCCAGTGACTATTTTTACAAGGTTGAAATAGTACTCAAAAACCAAATCAAACCCACTGCCATCAAGTTATTCCAACTCATAGTGACTCTATAGGACAGAGAGGAACCGTCTCATAGGGTTTCCAAGGCTGTAATCTTTACAGAAGCAGACTGCTACATCCTTCTCCCACAGAGCAGCTGGTGGGTTCAAACAGCCGACCTTTTGGTTAGCAGCTGAGTGCTTAACCACTGTGCCACCAGGGCTCCTTGAAACTACTAGATATACAATATTGAATTCTGCACTTCTCACTTAAATATTTCTCTACGTGTTTAGAAATTCTTTGCAAATATCATCGTTAATGACTATAAAATATTAAATCTGGTGGATGTCCCATCATTTACTTTAACTCGTCTCTTAAAGGACCTCTAAGGCATTTCTAAGTTTTTGCTAAAGATGTAACTAGGTGGAAATAATTTAATTTTCCAGAACACCTCTCTGGAATACTGCTTTCAGAAGGCTTAGGCATAGAAAGGGAGAGGGCTCTCCAGGGCCTCGTGTTACCTAGAACCCAGACTTAAGAAGAGAGGGAGACAGGGAAGCCTTTTGTTGTATTACTCCTAAAAAAGGTAGCATTGGGGGTGAGGATGTAGGGCAGAAAGGAAGAGGAAGAAGAGTGAGTCAACAACAGGAGGGAAAGAAGGACCAATTTAAGGGCCAGTAGACGCTACGGTGATGAGTTCAAAAACCAACGAAACCCATTGTTATCGAGTCGATTCCAACTCATAGTGACCCTACAGGACAGAGAAGAACTGTCCATAGGGTCTTCAAGGCTGTAGTTTTTACAGAAGCAGACCACCACATGTTTCTCCCCTGGAGCAGCTGGTGGGTTCGAACCACCGACCTTTCAGTTAGTAGCTGAGCACTTAACCACTGCACCACCAGGGCTGCCCTATCGTGATGGGATAGCCACTCGCAAATGCATGATATGAATGGATTTTTACTTTGGGAGAGGGGTACTCAAAGTGTTGTCAAGTTTCACATCTGGGTCATTGTGATACAGTGCTAAGCTATACAGACAGCTTGCATGGAACCAAAGCCCAGAACCCAGACGAGCCCATAAAAATGCACACCTCCCAGACATATGCATTAATCTTGAGAAGCACTGTCCAACAGAACTTTCTCAGGTGATGAAAATGTTCTGTATCTGTGCTAATGCAGTAGCCACTAGCCACATGTGGCTACTGAACATTTGAAATATGGCTAGCTCACCAAGAAACTGGATGTCTAAGTTTATTAAGTTTTAATTAAACTTAATTTTAATAGTCACATGTGGCTAGTGGCCACTGTATTAGACAATCCACGTCTATGAGGAAGGCTTTTGACTTCTACTGATATGCAACTGGCAGGGATCTGAACCAATTAAACCCAGTTCTCAGAGGAACAAAGAGGCCCAGCTAACATCTGAGTAACACAAACAATGTTTCATTGTACATCTCTGTGCCTAAAGCCTTGTCTGACATTCAGGTTATTTTCCTAAGAAGGATTCCCAGCAGTGCAATTACTGGTCAAAGGGTACAATCATTTTTAAGACTTCTGAAACACATTAACAGATGAGAAAGCTTCCTTTATAGACACTGAAAAATATATCACTCTCTGTCCAGTGCCTAACCTATAGTTTTCTAGGAGTCCATCAACACCTTGAACTAACCTGTAAAAATTTATGAATATGTGAATTTTTCTGGGGAGAGGGTCCACAGGCTTTCATCAGATTTTCAAAAGGGGTCTACATGCATGCTGTGACGTGGATAAACCTTGAAAATATTATGTTGAGTGAAATAAGTAGACACAAAAGGACAAGTGTTGTATGATTCCACCTACATGAAATATCTACATTAGGCAAATGCGTAGAGACAAAGGTTTATCAGTGGCTACCAGGTACTGGAAGGGCAGAGGGAATGGGAGCCATTGCTGAAGGGGTATGAGTTTCTGTTTGGAATGATGTAAAACTTTTGAAAATGGATACTGGTGATAGAAGCGCAACATGACAAATGTAATTAATGTCACTGAACTGTACGCTTACAAATGGTTAAAACTGCAAGTTTCTGTTATATATATTTTACCATAATAAAATCTTTTAAAATGGGTGGGGGTCCACAGCCTCAAAACGATTAAGAACTATTGCTTTCAACATGTGTGCCTCAGACAAAAGCTCCACTTCTCCTTCAGACATTCCTTTCAGCTCCATCCACCGAACTGCACACATAAATCAACATATTTTGGAAGGAAAATAAACCATTATGTCTAATCTTCTGTGCTCGCTGCTTTGGGGACGGTTCACTGTGAAGCAGTCCTCATGCAAGGAAAGAGGCCCCACTAGAAACTTGTACCTAGCTCCATTTCAAGACTATCATAATGATCAATTTGTAAGGCTGATGGAAAACCTTACAGTGTGTCACACACAGCACTCGCTTGGATGCGGTCGTGCTCCAGAGACATTTAACCAGGGAAAAAAAGGAGATTGTTTTAGCAAAGCTCCTGCAATTAGGGCTGGGGAAAGCTAACTGCTTCACTCCCTCTTCCATTCTCTGACAGGGTGAAAAGTACACAGCTGCTGTTCCTGTGTCTGTCATTTATGTTTCCCCAATGCTGAAATCTTTTCAAGGTGTGAGGTGCTGGTGGAACAAAGGTGCTTCAATCAGAAAGAAATGAAAGCCCTGCACATTCTTCTTTCTGGGGAGGTGGGCAGGGGCAGAAATGAGGGGCTAGAATCAAGCTCAAATTGGCAGCTACCACTAACTAGCAACATGATCTCAGACAAGTCAGTTAAACTGCCTGAGTCCTGATGTCGTCATCTGTATAAAACAGGGATAATAATACCTTTCCTTCGAAATTTTTTTGTGGATTAAATGAGATATTACATGGAAAAGGACTTAGCATAGTGTCTAACACAGACAAGATGGTCAATAAACATTATTATTTCCTTCCTTCTACATGTCCCTAATAACTCCCATACAAAAGATGATATTTATGGGACAAAATTTCTGGTTCTCCTGAGTTACAGCAGTGGTTCTCATTTGGAAATGATTTTGTCCCCCTAGGGGACGTTTGGCAGTGTCTGGAGACATTTCTGGTTGTCACAGCTGAAGGGGTGAGGGGGGTGTGGTACTGGCACTGAGTGTGGTTAGAGGCCAGGAATGCTGCTAAACATCCTACCGTGTACAGGACAGCCCCTCGCAACAAAAACTTGTCCAGCACAAAATGCCAATAATGCTGAGGCTGAGAAACTCCACATTACAGGGGAGTGTAAGGTGTACTAGTCCTCAAGATAAGTGATATATTAGTGAGGGTCTAGGCTTGGGAGCCAGGGAACTCTGAGCTCTGATAATTACTAACTGTAGATCCTTGGGTAATACACTTAACATCTCAGAGAGCAGATTTCCACTTCTGTAATATGGAGATAAAGTTACTGACTTCTAAGTGCTAGTGTGAAGAACAAATGGTAAAGGAGAAAGGATCCAGCATACAGTTGCCTGCAATTAGTTTCCTTCCTCCCTGTCCTTCCTTTCCAATTCTAGTTACAAGTCCAGCACATGTCTCTAGAGTCATCTACCTTTACTGCTAGTTTCCAATGAGTGAGCAATGCTGGACTCACAAACGGGGCTCCATCTGCCTTAACCCACAATTATGTGATCTGCATATGCCCGGGTCTGAAGATTAAAAAACCCCTGACATGCTGAGTTTATGCATACTGAGATATTGCTGGATACGTAAGCTTTTCATGTCATGTTGTTGCTATTTTTAACAACTGTTACCATTTACTACTGAGTGTTTACTATGTGCTGGACAGTGTTAGGAATTTAACTATCTCGTCTCTTATTTCAAATCAACCCTGTAGGGTAGGCAGGTAGCTAGGTAGGTAGGCCAACCTCGACTTTACAGGCACATAAACTGAGACTCAGGGTGACAAATAACTTACCCAAGAGCTCAGAGCTGGTGAGTGAGCGGCAGAGCTGGGGTGTAGACCCAGGTCTGTCTCATTCTACATGTTATTGTGACTCTGAAGACAAACCAGAAATCTCCTGAGTATCTTTGTTGGTCACAGCTCTGACCCACCTCTGCCTTAACTCACGTTTCTATTCATTAAGAGCGAGCCTGTGAAACACAGAGCCAGCCATGATGTGGAGGGGGCTTGAGGGCAACGATATCCACCCACAGGGCCTGTCAGTACACAGAATCTAATCTGGCTCCCACCCCAAGAAGCTACACAATTAAACTCAATTTGCTCATTCCCTTTGAGTTTCCCAGTGTTACTGAGCCCCTCCTCCAAGTGAAACCGACTAGCAGCTGAGGCTTCTTGAAAACGCTGGCATGCAGCGAGTCACATTAACTCTGAGAATTTCATCAGGATGTTTTCATTTTCTCTAAATTCATTTCAGATTTTAAAATCTGAAAATTAGCTCATAATTTAGAAGACTAGTGTTGGGAGGGCATTCATCCACTGAACATTTCCTGAGTGCCTACTCCATACCAGGCCCTGTGACAGGCACCGGGATATGGAGACAAGTAAGACACGGTCTCTGCCCTTAAGGAGCTCACGGTCGAGATGAGGAGGCAGACCAGTAGAGACAACTACACAGAGGGATGTAGTTCTGTCTGAGGGGTTAGGCTGAGCCTCCTGACAAGGATAATAATCACACTGAATTCTGAAGGACTAGAGGAGCCATGGTGGCTCAGTGGTTAAGAGCTCCATTGCCAAACAAAAGGTTGGCAGTTTGAATCCACCAGTTGCTCCTTGGAAACCCAATGGGGCAGTTCCACCCTGTCCTATAGGGTTGCTACGAGTTGGAATTGACTGGACGGCAACAGGTTTGCTTTTTTTTGATTACTGGGAGACAAAGCAGGGGCAATGGGTAGGAAGGGGGGTAGGCAGAGGCAGGAGAGTGCACAGCCTAGGGAACAATGAATAGTTAATCACAGCTAGAGAGAAAGGCATAAGGAGAGGAACGGCAAAAGATAATTTTTTTAAATTTTTTATTACAGAAAGTTTTAGACACTTACAAAAGAAAACAAACTAGTGTAATGAGCCCTTCCCCCATCTACTCATGCCCCAAACCCCACAACCAGGGCATCATGGCCAATCTTGTTCTGCTGATATCCCCACCCACTTCCTCTGCTTCGTACAGTCTTGAAGCAAATCCTACACATCATATCTTTTCAATTGTAACCATCCGAGTGTGTAAAGAGATGATTTCTTAATGTAAGAAGTCACTGAGTCCAACCCTCCGTTTACAGATGGACAAACAAAGGCCAGAGGGCAAGAAGTTTGGACACTGAGCTACAGTATGGGAGAGAACAGGCTAAAGCAAGACCACTTAGCCTCACTGGCACCAAATCATGTGTCAGCAATTCTGTAAATACTCAAATTACTTCAAAATATTGGCCAAGTAAGGCAGAAACTTGTTTGGATTCTGAGGCTCTGTCACTCACCTCCTGTATGTCCTTGGACAAGTCACTTAACCTCTCTTAGCTTTCATGGCCTTATGTAAAATAGGGGTAACAGCATTACTTACCTCACAGAACTGCTGTAAAAATTATATGTAATAATACACATGAAAGCACTTTTCAAATGTATAACAAAGTGCTATAAAAATTTAAGTAATTATTATTGATATTTTTACTCTAAGTTTTACAAACTATTCTTGAAACTTTTCTGCAGATTTGAGATTATTTCAAAATAAAAAGAAAAAAATGTTAAAAATAAAGTTAACGTGGACAGCAATACCTGGCACAGTTCCTGACATGTACTAGGTGCTCTCTAAATGCTGGCAGGAGATATTCGGTCAGTGGAGCAATGGAGCTGCAAAGAGCCTTTGTATTTCACATTGCCTTACACTATCTCCTAGAGTCAAGATACCATCCAGGACAGGGGTTCTTACCATGAATAAAATTCAGGGGATGCATGAAGTGAACAGGGAAAAAAATGTCAAATCTTTATTTCTATCAAGAAATAGGTCTATCTGATTTTTAAATAAGGCAATCAACATCCAAGTTCTTTATAAGCTTCCTAAGCAAACTGGTAGAACTTTGCTGCCTCAAGAAACTACCAGCATTTTTCAAGATATGAGTGTGTACGTTATGTCCGCACACCCATGTGCATGACGTCCAAACAGAAACACTTACCTGTTTGAGTCCTGAAGAGATTTCACCAGACGGGAATAGATGTCCTGCTCTTTCTTTAAGACCTGAATCAGCTCTTCATAGTCTGATTGTTTCTTTTCCTGGGAATGACAGTGGGCATCTGACATTAAGGGAAGAATTTTAAAAGAGTACATCCTTATATTATGCAATATATGTGGATAATTCTGGTTTTGAAACCTAAACTGAGGTGAGCCTCTGTGCCAGGCTCCGATCAGGTCACAGTCAGAGAGCACCACCTTCAGGAGGAGTGGCGAATGACTGTCCATCTCTTACCCAAGAATGAAGCCAAGAGCTGAGCTTTTAACACTAACCAGCTGTTATTAAAGAATCATCATAGTCATCCAGTTTGTCCATCATGAAACTACCATCCTCAGAGATGCTGTTCATAGTTTTCACAACACTATAGGGAATGCCTTTACACACTCACTCTTGCTCCAAAGAACTGATATTCACAAACTGAAACCTGACAAGTGCTGGGGACAAAGGATTTACAAGAAAGAAGCAGAGCGAGTAGCACTTTGAAGGCACCCAGAACAGAGTGGTGGTAAAGAGAGGTGAGTTGGATCTCTGCCATTCACTAGCTGTATGACCTCCGTAGGTAGTAGATAAAAGTTAAATGTGTATATTACAAGGACAAGGGATCCTTGGAGAAATGACTGATTCTAGGAATAGGGCAAAGAAAATAAGGGGTAACACAAGATATGTCTATAGCATTTTGTTGTGCCAGAAAATAAGAAAATGCTCAAATAACGACAGAGTGTTATCAAAAGGACACAGAAGCCAGCTTCAAGAGACTCCTACTAGTCAAATCTAGAACAAAATACATAATGATAGTACTAGATTATAACTGAATAAAACAGAAAGTCATGTATCCATAATGATATGAATAAATAACTGAACGAACAAATGGAAGAGCAGGTTTTTGCTTACAGTAGAATGCCAACTAATAAAGGTACAAGGAATGATGGGATTATAAAAGTCACCATTTGCCAGCCATCATAGTAATAAATAATTTGGCCAAGAAACATCAATGAATGCTAAAACTAGTGGGTGAAAGTTTGAAGAAAACCAGGATATTCACATAGATTCAAAATACTTTCCCACAAAATACTTATTAATTACAAACGAAAAAAACAGTAACCGTACCGTCGAGGCACCCGGCATACACCACCTTCATAAAGTTATCAAAGTTTACGACCAGCAATGGGACAAATAAAAATTGTATACCATCGGATACGATGCAATGAGATGAGCACAGCAACACTACTGTGATATTCCTGCCAAAGATGCATAGCCCAAAACTTATCACAAAGAAATATCACACAGGCCCAAACTGAAGGACAGTCTACACAATAACTGGCCTGGAGACTTCAAAAATATCAAGGTCATGAAAGACAAAGACAGATTCAGACTAAAGAAATAAGACTATTAAATGCAATGTGTGATCCTGGACTAGAACCTTTTGCTCTAAAGGGACTTATTGGGACAACTAATGAAACGTGAATGGGTGTGATGATTAGATGGAGTGATGCATCTGTGCTAATTCGCTGCTTGTGATGGCTGTGCTGAGGTTATGCAGGAAAATGCCCTTGTTTGTAGAAAATACACACTCAAGTATTCAGAGATGACAGGGCTTTATGTTGGTAACTTACTCTCAGATGGCTCAATACAAACAAAGTCCTTTAAACTATTCTTGAAACTTTTCTGCAAATTTGAAATTATTTCCAAATAAGAAGAAAAAAATGTTAAAAATAAAGTTAACGTGGACAGCAATACCTGGCACAGTTCCTGACATATACTAGGTGCTCTCTAAGTGCTGGGGGGAGATATTCAGTCAGTGAAGCAATGGAGCCGCAAACAGCCTTTGTATTTCACATTGCCTTACACTCTCTCCTAGAGTCAAGATACCATCCAGGACAGGGGTTCTCACCATGAATAAAATTCAGAGGATGCATGAAGTGAACAGGGAAAAAAAAAGTCAAATCTTTATTTCCACTAACCTCTAGCTGAAATGTAGCATTCCCTTCAATCATTAATTGAAGGAATACTGCTATTACTACAAGCCATAGTAGTATCAGCAGTACTACTGTGACTTTGTCACCAAAAGAAATCTGGTTATTTTGTATATGTTGCAGATATCTCAAAATTTTGTTTATTCTTATCACTACTTCAAAACTACAGTAGTTTATTATATTCACAACTAGATCATTTTATAAGCAGCACCATTTGTACAGCATAATATATTTTTATTGTGATAAATGAATTTCAAAATAATTGGTTCCCTTTATGTGGTTGTTGCTGTTGTTGGTGCCGACGACTTAATTCCGACTCACAGCAACCCCGTGTGACAGAGATGAACGGCCCACAAAGAGTTTCCTAGGCTGTAATCTACAGAAGCAGAATGCCAGGTCTTTCTCCTGTGGAGCCACTGGGTGGGTTCGAACCACCAACTTTTCAATTAGCAGCAGAGTGCTTAATCATTGTGCCACTAGAGTTGCTTGGTTTCCTTTTTCGTCTTATGCATATATTTTATGTATTTAAGTATTTTTTTCAGGGAAGGGGTCTTTGGCTTCAATAGATTGCCAAAGGGATGCAGAGGACATAAAAGTTAAGAACTCCTGACCTAGGAGAATACTGCTTTGCTCTAGCCTTGAACAAAAAGACAAAGTCATCACCTGCTGATTAAGGGTCTTAAATGCTAAATCACCAGTCTGGTCACGATAAATTAGTCACCCAGACCGCTACAAATGTCAGCCCCTTTTGTAAATCACACCATGTCATTGGCACAATGAGCTCCCAAATGGCTCTTGTAGGCAATAATAGTATCATGTAGGATTCTTTTAGTGCCCACCTGCACACAACCATGTACACAGCCAGAGGATCCCAGAGAGAAGACAGGGTAAGAAATAAATAGGATATCAATACAAAGGAAGTGGCATGACCAAGCACTCAGTACTGTCAGCCACTGTGCTAAGTGCTTTCCAGGCATTTTCTCATTTAATCCTCACAAGAACCCGATGAGCTTAGGTGTTGCTCTCTCCACTTTAGAGATGAGGAAACTGAGGCACAGAAGGCCAAAAGCGTGCTCAAGCTTAGGGTGGTAAGGCAGGGTGTGGATCCAGATGGGGTCGTGCTCTTCAGCCCACCCCTCATTGCCCCAAAATGGATGCAAAGCACTGAACACTCAACAAGGGTAACACTATCATTGTCAGCCTTGTAAAGGCCAGCCGACTGCTTCTTGAGTCCCTACCATGAGAGGCAGCGGGTTCCTGTTCTTTCTGGCATCTACTGCAAACCTTCACAAGGTTTTCCAGGCCACCACAATCCTCAGCTCCTGTCCTCCATCTGCCAGCTGACCACATCTGCATTCACCTGCTCCTCCTGCTCCTCCGCCTCAGTGGAAGTGAAAAATCCCTCCACTTGAGCTCCAGGAGGCAAGTCCAACCTCCTTCTTGAAGACTGTTCCATCACTCACTCCTCTCTACCAACACACTCCAGGGCACCTTACAGGCCTCTGCTCTGACTAAAACTTCACTAGGAAGCTTCCCCTGACTGGGATATGCCTTCCTCCGGCCCCCACAACACCTTTTGTTCACCCTCACCCCAAAGCTACAGTGTACCAACCACCTATTTACAGGGCTGCCCTCCCCAACTAGTCTGTGGGCTCCTAGAGGGCAGCAGCACAGTGTCTGCCACAGATCAAATGCTGCCACAAACATTTGCTGCACTGATGATTAAATAGGTAAGAGAGGAACATACAGGGACTGAGATAAATCTTAACAGCAGAGATTCCTGTGGATATTTTGCATAATAGAAGTCAGAGTGAGTCAACATCTTCCTAGAAGGAAATTGCTCACCCATGTTAAATAAATGAACTCTTCGGAGCCATTTGGGTCCCATTTCATCAATCATCTATTCCCCTGCGTTGAATCATACCCCATTAGAATGAAGTCATTTGGCTCCCTCAGCAAGGCTGAGAAACCAATGGGTCTCCTCTGGCAGAGGGCCAGGCTGCCCAGAGGGAAGTAATGAGAAGGACCTGCTCAGCAGAAGCAACCAATTTCCCCTTTCCCTGACCTCGCCCTGCCCCCACCCTGCCCCTCCAACCAAGAAACAAGCCCAGACAGTAGGCCTCTCATCATAGAGAAGACTTACCATTTACCACACAACTACTGTGTGGCAGACCCTACATCTATAGTATGTGGGGACAGCCCCTGGAGTAACCATCCAGCTCACCACCATTCCCCTGCCTCATCTGAGAACTATCACTAAAACATAAGGGTGAGTCCCACGGAGAGCCCTTCCCTCTGTGAGCCAACCTCCAAGTCCACACTAAACCACTAAGATTCTCTCCCAGGAATTCAGAGACTCAAAGATAACAGAAGTATGGGAGTCAGTGGGTCTCAGTCACATCAACAACAGTGCCCTAGAGTCCACAACTTCTGCTGGTGAGCCCGTGGAGCTGCCACAGTTTTCATCCTCCCCAAGGCATGGTTGCTCAACTCTTCCCTGGCATCTGTGAGGATGTTCCTAGTAAATACTGCCTTTTATTGCTGTTTCACTCAAGCTACCCAATGTTTCTGTAGCTTGTAACCAAAAGAATCTTAACTAATACACTTAAATTATTTCTAATCCTCTCTGCTAACCAATTCTGGGTGGTAAGCACGTAATCGCTCATTTTACAGATTAGAAAGGTGAGTTTCAGTGAGATTAAGTGGCTTGCCCAAGGTCACAGAGATAATAAGCAGCAGAACTGGCAACCAGACACCAAAGCCAGGGCATTCGCTACTCTACTATAGTGTCCTTAATAACTTGAAGGAAACACATGCAATGTGCAGACCACAGTCTGAAGAAGCAGCAGATACGTAAAGAAAATGGATCACTTCTCGGCAATCAGGGCAGTTTAGAGGCCTGGCAGATAGGTAACGTTTGTTTCAGTAGCTATGTCACAGCTCTGCAACAACGACATTTATTTTAATACTCAGGAAACTTCAGCAGCAATGTCTTAACCATGTCAATAACCAAGCTATAAATCTCTGGCTGCAGCAAGTTAAATACGGTCAGTGTTTTACTCTCTATTCTTCAATTCCCTGATCATCTAGCATTAATTCCCAGGATCACAGAATGATCAGAGGGAAAACAGAGTGCCCAGAGTCTGTGGAAACATCATCATAGCCTCAAGTTCTCTGTAGAAATCAACAGAGGATAAACCCTAAATCAACACCAAGTGGCCAAGGGCATGGCAGAAGAAATCCATGCTTTCTACTTAGAAAAAACTACAACCTGAAAAGTATCCTTTTCTGAGGGAAAAAACTGCAAGGCTAGAAAAGCTGGGATTTCTTCAATTGACATCTAGAAACTTACAATTCTTAAGTGATAATTTATAATTCTTTATCCACAATTTACAACTAGTCTTGCAAAACAGAATTAAAACTTTTGCTAAAATACTTGGGTATTTTGCACAATAATTTAAACATCACCAGCATCTGAATATCACCGAAACACCAGTAAAATACTTTGCACTTGTGGTTATATGAACTACAGACATTACCCAGTGCAAAAACCTAAAAACAAAACGTCACAGATAATAATAAACCTAGTGAAATTAAATTTTAAAACACTCAATCTGTTCAATAAATTCATAAACACATTTTATTCAATATTTAGAAGCATATTATGTGACTAAAAGGTAATTTAAAATAGAAAAGTTTAACTAAATGTAATTCAAATTAGTGTCTATCTAAAAAACCTGACAGGTTGCTATGTTTCAAAACAGACTGTACCTTATTACAGGTTAATTTGCATATTAACAGCTCACCTAAATCAAATAACTATATGCTAGTTAGAATCACGAATATCCATCCTCTGAAAGTAACTGGACTTTCCCAAGGTCACCCAAGTGAAGTGACAAAGCCAGGAGAGAAACTCAGGCCCAGGCCAAAGGCTGTTTCCTGGCCCAGCTCAAGGGCTCTTTGCACTAGTTCTTGCTGACACTCTCAGTCAAGAGAAACAGTAAAATGCAAATCCTCAAATGGTGAGAGTTAAGAAAGCTCTCCCACTGGTCAGTCAACGATGCCCTCAAGACCAGGGCTGATACTGAGCTGGTACGCAGCACAGTGACTAGTTGGTGGTGGTGGTGGTGGTGGTGTTAGCTGCTGTCCAGTTGGCCCCTGACTCATGGCGATCCCATGTACAATGAAACAAAACACTGCCCTGTCCTGTGCCATCCCCACAATCAGTTTCAGATAGGACAGTTGTGATCCACAGGATTTGCACTGGCTGATTTTCGGAAGTAGATTGCCAGGCCTTTCTTCCTAATCCATCTTAGTCTGGAAGCTCCACGGAAACCTATTCAGCATCATAGCAACACTGGTTGCTGAAATACTGAAATATTTCAGTTGAAAAATAACCTGCTGGTCCATCCACCCCCGTGACCCTGCTACCCGGGCCCCTCCCCCTGGGCCCCTAGGGACCTCACCATAACCCAATAATTACAGAGTTGGTATCTGGCACAAGAGCAGGCCTCCAGAACCCCACTCCAGCCCCACTGCCCAAGTCTGTTCTTATAGTTGATGCCTGTACTGTACCAGTTGTTAATTCTTTTGAGAATCACCATTCACAAAACCATAAATCATGATCAGAGCCATTCATCAGAGAACTAATTTGCTTAAGAGTTCCCTGTCTTCGAACGCATGAACTTAATTAAAGTCAGTCAGGTTTAAAAAAAAAAAAAAACTTGGCCTACAGTTAAACTCTTTTTCTCTCCCAGATTGGGCTGCCTATTTGCATTAAATGCAAGCTGGTGGTCAGGGCAATATCTATGCATCTCTCACAAATCAATATAACCATTCATTCACTCAACAAACATTTACTAAGCCAGGCACTGGGCTAGGCATTGGGATTCAGAGATGAATGTCAGTTGCCTACTCATGAGGTGCCTGTTCATGGTGCTCAGGGGCTCAAGTGAGGGAAAGCAGAAAGGTGGAACCTATAACGTCAACAAAAAGGCAGTAAGTACTATGTGGAAGAGGCATGAAAAGTGCTGTGAACCAGAAAGAAAGGGGAGATGGCACCAGGTAAGGCTCCACAGAGGCAACACAAGAGTGGCACCTTTAGGGATGTTTAGGAGTTACCAGGTAAACAAGGAAGGAAAAGGCACTTCAGGCAGATGGAATCCCACATGGAAAGGCACAGAGAAGTACATGGCGTTTTTAGGAATCTACAAGAAGTTAGCTGTTGTTGAAGATGATGAGGGGATGAAAAAAAATGAGATCACAAAGATAACCTGGGGCCAGATCACGAAAGGTGTGGTGAACAAGAAAATTTTCCTAACGCTTGGGATTACATAGTTCTTAAAAGGTGAATCCTGGTAGAGCAAATATGAGGCTCATCTTTGAACGAGCTGTGACTCCTCAGTTTCGTGTGCAGTGCAAATACTAATCCTCAATGAAAGAATATTAATCTCTAAGGTGGACAGACTAAGAACTACTCCACCTACCTGTTGTAAGCTCAATTATCAGCAAGAAGGCATTTGAGATCTCTACATCAAAGGAGTTATCAAACAAGTTTCAGAAAAGAATATGAATACATTCACATGTGAACGTCCCATTTCAGTCAAGCTTACCTCGAAGAAGATGATTTTGCTGGCTGGTGGCTGCTGAGAGCACTTTCCTGTTATTAAGCCTTCATTCTTGAACTCAAAATCCTCTGCAGTCATTAAATGACAGCTCTGTTGAATTGCTTCCAAATCTTTTTCATTGACTTTCTAAGGAAATAAAACAAATCATACAGAAGTTTCTGTCAAGAAAAAGTATTAAGAAATTGTCCCAAATTCTTCAAGGGAAGACATTTTACTTGCTCACAATACCCGTATGTCCTCTAATTTCTACCACCCCAAAATGTTAGACAATTACAAAACTGTAATGCAACCCATTTCTGTGTTACTATGACTTAGAGATAGCACTATGGCACAGTCAAGGATGGTGGTAGTCATTACAAACCTTCCCCACTCCCAGCCACTGTGACTGCCTCATAGTAGTTGTGGAGGACATAGCCTAGGTTCTGACCAGCAGGTTCCAATCTTGAGTCTAACCTTGGTTAGGGTGTGCTCTCTGGGTCTCAGTTTTCTGCCATGTAAAATAGGGACAAGATACCTATCCTACAGGGTTACAGGGATCATTAGAAGGATTAAATATCAAAACCCAACAAAGTAATGGTTTCTTCTGAAACATTTCAAATTTGACAAAACTTGAGCCTTCCGTGTCTATGAGAAGATTTGACTTCCAGGAAGAAACTCCAAGAACGCATATATTATTTTAGGGTCTGGTCACATATTAAAGGCTCCTTCATGTTGACGCATAACGCAATTCGTCTCACCAACCTCTTCAGAAGATCTGATGTCCAACAACACAACAGGACTGGAAACAATAGCATAGAATCTATTTCTAAATATTTAAAACTTGGTAATTCCTGAACTAGGGTTCTGTCCACTTTTTTTCAGAAATTAAGGACAGGAGCAACATCTTAACTCCTAAACATCTAGCAGAATTAATTTATCATGTCAAACAATTATAAGAAATCAAGTGAGCACAAACAGGACAAGCATAGGCAATTACAGGTAAAAACTCAACGAACTATAACAGGAAGAACTAGGAATCAAACGACCAGACTGAATTTCCAGAATTGTCATAGTACAGATATGCTTGAGTTAAAACTTTATTTTTATTTATAAAAGTCCAACTATACATGCACATAGTTTAAAAGTCAAATAGTACTATAAAGCTTAAATGGAAAATAGCAGTCCCCTATCTCTCCATTTTTCACCTGTAAGTCCCACTCCCCACAACAACCAACTTCCAACTCTACAGCTATTTCTTCCAATGTTTCTACATTACTTATTTCTTATTCTCACATTTGATTTTTCAGGTTTAGATTCTATCTATTGCCATCTATGACAGAGGGTTAGGATTCATCTCTTACACATCTGCCCCACAACATTTTTCCTAATAGTTATATCACAGCTTTATGAAAGACAATATTCCACTTTTACATTATTATGGCCATGTATAAATACTGTTCATGGCTCAGCCATATACGGTTCAATGATTACATTTTCTTTCATGTTCAATTCTCTGCTTTTCTTGGAATTAGTAATCTCTTTGTAATTTCTTTTTTTATTTGTTTACTTAGTTCATAAAACTAACTTATGTACATAACATTAATTTATCTCCAAACTCTCTAAAAGACCTCCCAGCGGAGTCTAACATATCAGATAACTGACCAGTCCATTTTAGTATCTTGCAGAAATCCCAACTGAAGTCCTCCTTCTACAGCTCAAATTTGGGCTCTCTACACAGGCTGTTCAAGTTTTTATCCAGGGACTTCTTTCCACAACACCTCAGGAATTCCCTACTTTCTAGAGCCCATGTCTCTCTCTTTTTCTTGGTTTACTCCCTCGTTTGTGTGGAATCATCCCTCAGAAGATCCCTGCAAAGAGTACATGTAAGGCAAATTTTTTTAGCCACCGAATGTCTGAAAATGCCTTTATTCTGCCATCACACTGATGACAGCCCAGCCAAGTACAGAACGCTAGACTGGAAATCAGTTTTCCTAAAAAATTTGAAGGTTTTACGTCTCTGTCTTCTAGCTTCCGGTGTTAACTGCTAAGAAGTTTGATGTCACTCTGAGTCTGGGTCCTTTGTAAGTGATCTAATTTTCCTCTCTCTGGAAGTCTTTTGAATCTTTGCTTTATCTCTGTGTTCCAGAATTTCACAGTGATGTGTCTTGAGATATATAGGTCTTTTTCATTCTTTCTGCTAGAAATAGAACAGGCCCTTTCCATCTAAAATAGTCATCCTTCCATTCTGGAAAATTTCCTGCTATTACTTTGAAATTTTCCTTCGCTCTCTGCTTTGCATCTTCTGTCTTTCTGGAACTCCTGTTTGTAATACAATGGACCTCTTGCATCATGCCTCTAATTCTCTTATCCTTTGTCTCCCATTTTCCCATCTTTTTGTTTCTTTGTTTGTTTAATTCTATTTTCTGGAAGACTTATTGACTTTATCGTCCAACTTTCCTAACTCTTCTATTAAACTTTTTCTATCTGCAATCACACTTTCAAATTCCAATGTCATTCTTCTTTGCCAAATATCTTTTTACCAGATCCTGATCTTATTTCTTATCTAAAGATGTTAATTATAGTGTTGGGTTTAAAAAAAATTTAAGTTGTCTAGTTTTCTTCTCCTCCTTGCATTGTTTCTATTTCCTATATATACCCCTGTTCTGCCTATTCTGGCCTTTGTCTTTCCTCCACTTCTCCAGTGTTTGATGATCTCATGCCATCCACCTACTTTTAAGACTAAAGGTGCTGTCTACTGACCATTCTGACCAGGGACACAATAGATGGTACTGGACAGAATGGGAGAAAATTGTAGAACAAAACTCAAATTAAAAAAAGACCAGACTTTTTGGACTGGTAGAGACTAGAGGAACCCTCGAGACTATCGCCCTGAGATACACTTTAAACTTTGAACAGAAACCACTTCCAGAGGTCACCTTTGAGCTATAACAACAGACTGGCTCATAAAATAAACAGTATCACCCAAGAGTACTGTGCTCCTTAAAAAAAAAAAAAATCATCTATATGAGACGAAATGGACATATACCCTAAAGCAAAGATGAGAACCCAGGAGGGTAGGGGGGTGGGAAGCAGGAGGGAAGCTAGATTAATGAGAACGGAACCACCAGAACAGAAATAATGACAATGCTGACACAATGTGGAAAACATAACCAATGTCAGTGAGCAATAGGTATAGAAGTCGTTAAATGGGAACCTAATTTTCTGTATAAACTTTCACTAAAAACACAACAAAATATTGGAAAAAAAAGAAAAGATTAAAGGTACTCAGAAGCTATGCAAGCATGGAAAGGGCCTGTCAATGGTAGGCCTCACTATGAGATGACCAGGTAGGGACCTGGTTGTTTTGCTGGAGGACCTCCAACCATCAGCATCTTTAAGTCTTTTCTCTTACAGGTCAGTTTCCTTCAGAAGAATCTCACTGCTAGGCATACACAGTTTCACTCTGTCCCCAAGTTTTCATTAAACCAACCGACTACTGCTATTAGTTCTACCTGGTGGCCCCCAGTCCAGAGTCTTTCTGACTTTAACTTTCCAGAGAGTAAACTCAAGAGAGTTCCATCTTCGGCTGGTGTAGAAAAGGGAGTCATTTAACTACTTAGAATTCCAGCCAAATCTCCTGTTTTCAAAGATTCCAAGTACCTGTGATTACTGCTGAGGCTTTCTGGGGTTCTATAACATAAATCAGCTTGCTTCTTGTCTTTTCATACGAAAGGCTTGTAGCAGAGTGGAAAAAAACTGAATCCTACGCAGTTACTATTTACCAATCACTCATCAAAATTTAAATTTTGTTGACAGCTCACACTTGTTGTTGTTCCCACCCCATTTCCCTTGGTTTTTGTGAGTTTATATCTTTTTATTTCCTTACTGTCATTTCAGAAGGAAACAGTGTTAAACATTTATAATCAATCCATCATGCTTATCTGTAAGTCTGAGTTGAATCTCAAAGATTCACTACGTGATCAAACAAGAAAGGCGTTAGGGACTGAATTCTGTCCCCAAAAAATATGTGTTATAAACTCTAACCTCTATGCCTGTGGTTAAAATCACATTTGGGAATCAGCTGTCTTTGTTATATTAATGAGACAGGATTAGTGTAGGGTGTGTCTTAAATCAATCTCTTTTGAGATATGAAAGAGATTAAACAAGCAAGAGAGAGAAGCAAAGATGGAGGAAGAGACATGCCAAGCCACGTGAAGATCACCCAGGAGCAGAAGCTAAAAGACAAAAGGATCTTCCTCCAGAGCCGATAGAGAAAGAAAGCCTTTCCCTAGGGCTACCAACCTGAATTTAGACTTCAAGCCTCCTAAACTCTGAGAAAATAAATTCGTTTGTTAGAGCCATTCACTTGTGGTATTTCTGTTACAACGGCATTAGATAACGAAGACAGAATTTGGTACTGGAAAAGTGGGGTGCTGCTCTAACAGATACCCAAAATGTGGAAGCAATTTTGGAACTGGGTAATGGGTAGAGGCTAGAAGAGTTTTAAGGTGCCGAATAGTAAAAGCCTAGATTGCCTTGAAGAGACTGTTAGTAGAATTATGGGCATCAATGGCAATTCTAGTGAGGGCTAAAAAGGAAGTCAGAAAAGCTATAGAGAAAGTCTCTATCATCTCAGAGAAAACATACGGCATGAGGAACAGAATATTGCTAGAAATGTGGATATTAAATGTGCTTCTGGTGACGCTTTAAAAGAAAATGGTGAACATATGATTGGACAGTGGAGGAAGGGTGATACTTTTCATGCAGTGGCAAAGAACTTGTCTGAATTATGTTCAAATGTTTGGTGGAAGGTAGAACTTGTAAGTGATGAACTTGGATATCTGGATGATGAGATTTCTAAGCAAGACCTTAAAGGGGCTGATGGTTTCTCCTTGCCACTTACAGTAAAATACGAGAGGAAAGAAATGGACTTAAAAATGAACTATGCAAAATGAAAACAGAAGTTAAAAAGATTTGGAAAATTCTGTAGTACAAACTAAGGACACGTGTCCTAGAACATTCACCAAGGAAGTGGCTACACAATCTTTTGTTAAAGAGAGTAAGCCTGAGACTGACGGATCTAACCAACCACCACAGCAGAAAACCTATCAGCTTAGACTGAAAAGGACAGAAAAAGGACAAAAGGC